CCCAGGGTTCCTTACTTCGTGTTGTATATGTACATACTTTTGTTTTAGGTTCGCTAGGTTTTCGAGGTGACGCTGGGGTAGATTTTTTTCTATGATATATTTTGCACATAGACAATATTTGTTTCAATCAGACAAATTTATTTCACCAAGTTGACCAAAAAGAGCACTAATTGAATATTCAATGTCAACATTACAAATATTTCTTAGTATTTCTTTTTGTAATATAAATATTTTCTTGTTGGTACACTTTTTGGTGCCCCAAATGGGATGACCATAATTTAAATGTGAAGAGAATAATGAATTATATAAAATTAACTTTGATTTGAGTGTTAAGATGTGTTTATGGCGATATACGATACGGACTATACTAGATAATTTAGATATAACTGGTATGGTCCTCCCATGAGAGGTCTTCTTAAAGAACGACGCCTAAGGATTTAAACTTGACAACAATATCAATTTGAGTAAAATTTAAACAAAAAAAATGTCCTTAGTAATATTGACACGCCTATTGTTTGGTCGAAACAGAGCTGCCTTCGTTTTATTCGCGTTTATTCTTGAAGAATTATAATTACTCCAAATAACAAGCGTTTTTCAGTATTTCATTCGCATCATCTATAAGATCCGAAGCGTTATCACAGCTCAAAAACTAGGCTTGCGTCATCAGCACAAAAACAAAGTATATTGATAGACTTATATTTAATATGTCATTTATATAAATGTTCGACAAAAAATGCACAGGAATACTTCCTTGATGAACGCCAGATTTAATCGGTTTGGTTTCAAATAAATAACCATTTATATTAACATACTGCCTACGGGAGGATATATATGATAGTAAGAGTTGGCACACTTGCTCACTAAATATATATATGTCTGTTTTTTTAAATATTAAATTATGGTCAAGATAGCCGAATGCTTTGGTAAAGTCAATAAATAAACCAAACGTGAGTTCTCTTTTTTCAAATTTTTAAGAATATATTCTTTTTGCGGAAGCAGTGCGAGTTCTGTTGATCGTTGCTGGCGAAACCAAAATTGCGATGAACTTAAAATGTTGTGGCTATCAGCAAGGCTCTCAACCAACAATGTATAATTTTTCTATGCCTTTAGAAACACAGAGAGTATTGAAATAGGTCGGTAATTACCCAAGTCGTTTTTATTACTTTTCTAATATAAAACCGTTACTTTAGGCAGCTGGAATTGTTTAGGAAACACGCTGTCAAGCAAACATACATTAAAGATGTTCGTCAATGCAGGAGAAATAAGATAAATTACATATTTTACTGGTTTAATCTGTAAGCCATCGGAATCACAACTTTTACTATTTTTATAGCACCAAAGACAGGTATTACTTCCGAACTAGTAACAAACGAAAGAAACAAATATTGGTCATGTCGAAAACTGATGTACTTCCAAGCATCTGACTCAGTATTTTTTCGCTAGATTTACAAACGCTTTTCCGGACACCTCCAGACCATTGAAGTTTAACCTTCCTACTTGCTTCTCGGTACATGAACGACCTAAGACAGAGTTTAACTTTTTCCAAACAACGTTGACTTTGTTACTACAGGATAAAAAATAAGTTACAGCAATAAGATTATTATGCATGCCGCACTTCTCTATTCAGTTGGTTTCGATAACATTTAAAATAAACTTTTTCATTTTTTTTTTTTTGTTTTTTTTTTACAAATTTTTGATATCGCGCATTTTTGTGAGCAATTTTTTAATGATCTCGGGTTTGCGACTCTTTCTAGGTTTGAACATTTTATACAAAAAACAACTCTCATAAAGGTTTTTTTTTTGTTTACTCAAACATAAGTTATATGCATTATCTGCATTCTCTTCTTAGTGGACATTGTTCCAATCTAAAAAAAGATAGTTTCTCCCTGAAATTGTTCAAGTTAATAGCGGTTGTATCCTGGAACTGCGCCCCTAACCGATTTTTCTATTTTATTTGCGATTTTTTTTTGTAGTTTTTTTTAATTATAGACGAAAATGTACCCAAATGATCGCTTTTATCCGTTATTAGTAACCACATTTTGTATCTGACTTTTCGTAGCTTGTAATCGAAAGATCCATTAGTGTCGATGATTCGATCAGTGGTAATTCTCGTTGGAACCGTTACAAAATTCACAAATCCACATGTTTGGATCAGTGCTTCGAATTGCATTTTATTTGCTGTCTCAAGTAACATGCTAATATTAAAGCCGCCTTCCAGAATTATGTTATATTTATTTTTAGTCGAAAACTCTAAAAAAGATTCTAAATAAGCAAAAACAAGACGAAACATTTCCACTTGGCGTACGATAACACACTGCTATAATACTCTGCCCCTTCAGTAACGACATCTCGCAGTCTTTATCAATGCAACAGTAATCGGTACGCATTTTCCAGGAAATGACTGGCTTCATCATGACTGCTACTCCCCCTCTTTGGCTTTCTGTGCGGTTTAAAAAGTAACAGTCATATATTGGTAATTTTATAACGTCACTAAAATCAGTGTACCACGTCTCCGGAAGCAACATTGCATCACACGAAAAACTGAACTGACATAAAAGTACTTCCAGCTCATCTGCTTTATTTCGCGCTGATCGTGCGGTTATGTGGAAGCATTTGAGGGAGTTTGTGTACTTATCTCCCAAGGAAGATTTTACATTGGACGGAAGGAAATAATAATCACTTGACAGCGATTTCTGCATCAAGTGAACCTGTCGTGTTAGCCATTGCATACAAGAGCATATCTTAAAAGTCGGCAGATGTAAATATCTGAAGCATCAAACTAGTTTCTGCAAGTCATCCATAGAGTTGATTACGTGTACTTGCTCGCGATCCCTCTTGCGCACAAGGATGTTAAATTCCTATGCCAGACGCGCTGGTAGTCCATAGGTTTAGCCCACTTTTTTGCCTTCGAAAAAAAGTGCCCTCTCCTGTTTTGTGAAGTTCTCCTGGATGTAAGTGTCCTCTATCTGTTTCTTCAGATTTGTCCGTTTGCTTAGGCATTCATCTCTGGTTGTCTGCTGAGAAAAACTTATAATAGTACACGAAATTGTTTCTGGTCGGGACGGTAGTCTATGAATGCTGGCCACTTCGTTTAGATCCAAGTCTGGCACTTCCAGTTTCTTTGAAACCGCATTTATTTTTGCTAACAGATTCTCGTCGTAAGCTTTGGCACTCCATGAATCTCGAAATTTTACTTTCGGCTTCGCCAATCAAGTGCGTTGATTTCCTGCTTAAGTTGTTTCATTTATACGCAGGTGTTGATTCTTTCCAGGGTTTCTACTCATTTTTTAGTTGCTTCAACTTCTTTTTTTGTTCACCGATATCTTTTAGTACTTCGTCCTGCTTATCCGACATTTCCTGCATGGAATTCTGTATGCCACTCACAGTCTCCTTAAGGCTCATAAGGCTGTCTATTTTGGCATTTATGACGGCAAACATCACAGCTATATAGGGTTTCGTTTCCTATTTGGCGCTCTGACTACCTCCCAGAGATTTCACAGTTTTGCCTGTTGGGCGACGCCACGACTTGCGTAACGCACTGCCCTTGACCTGAAAGTTGCTTCAGGGTCATTCCAAGTCAAACGTCTTAGACGTTGCGCTCGACTACCTTCGAATTCTAAAAAAAAAAAAAAAAATTCATAGCCTTTTGCGTAATGTCCATAGCCATGCCCAGAAATATTTCTGACGAAATTTTTTTTTGATTACGTCAGCGCTGTTTTAACTTTTTAAAACAGCGTAAAACCAGGCATCACTGAATAATTTATGAAAAATCAGCGTTTTAATAAAACACCCAACAATACTTTTTTATTAAATTTGCACGGCTTTCGACTTACAATCTGGTTGAGCTTGGGAAGTTTTCTTTAATAAAAATATTAAAAAAAATTATTTTAGCATTTTTGTTATTTTATTAAAAAATATATAATTGCTCTCGGACTTAATAGGACTTTTTACCGGCTGCCCTGCAGGTACGTAACCTATAAAAAGGTTCTAAAACCACTCAATTAAATATTTTGCACTAAACAAAAATCCTGAAGTTGCAAAAAAAAGGGCGCTTTGACGCTTAAACAGCCGCTTATTTCATCCTGAGGTGGTCCAAGTAAAAATAACAAAATGTGGTGGATTTGGAAGAAAAATCGATAGTCTTTTGATTCTGAAAGTTTAGTTAGAGTAATTATTGTTTAAAGCGAGAAAATTTTTGAAGTTGAACTCTCGCACCACAACCGGCGTCGCTTCTTAACGCCTCTTTGCCGCACAGAACGGCACCTGCGACGAAAGCTGACACGATTAGGTCCAAAGAAAGAACAATTTTCTGCCGCTTCCTTTTGTCCGTCTTTCCCGCTGCAAGGAAAGAAACGGCGGGTATCATGTAATAACCGGAGGTGCCGCCAGCGCATAGCAATAGCAGGCCCTTTGTGCCCTTTGTACCAGAGTGCGGCTCGAAGCGCGATGCCTAATCGACGGGCGGCATAAGCTGACGTGGGCTACACCTAAAAGAGAAACGCGATAATATTGCCGCGAAATCTAGGTGTCACGCATACTGCGACGAAAAGCGGAACTATTCAGCGACGCAAGAATTTGTCGTTTCAAAGCCGATTTAAACACAAAGGACGCGCAAGCTTCCAACGCCGCGCATTCGTTAACACCACATCGCCTCGTCGTTTGAGATTGCCCGTTCACTGGGCTTTTGTGTTGCTGTTTTAAATAGTGTTCTGACGTCGACAAGAGAGTGTGATTGCAATGTGTACGAAAGAAACAGCTAGCTTACTAGTGGATGCTCTGACCTGGCAGCGCTAGGCATTTGCTGATATCAAGACAGTGGAAGACCACTGTCTTGATATCAGATATAGGAGGACACCACCGCGGCAAAAGGGATTGATTGATTGAAAACACGTTTATTGACCTTATATTGCGCGGAGCGCGCTGCGGAGGTCAGTTAGAAGGAGGATAAGGGATTAGGAAGCGGGGGCCAAAGAAGAGGAGAGGAGGAGGAGCGCAACACTTCATGGCTTCAAGGCCTTCGTCGACGAGGGAGGGGGAGGCCGTATCCTCTTGGCTGTAGCCGAAAGGAGCCGGTCCCCCACTGGAGGCGCAGTTGGGTCTTTTATGAAGGTGAGTAGTGCCTCCCAGAGCTCCAGAGCATGCTTGGAGGATATGGTGGTGTCTGGACATGCCCAGGCGTTCAGGGATGCGGGTACTGGGGCGTTTGTGATGAGGTCCAAAGCGTGTTGTCGTGGAATATTATACAAAGGGCAAGACCACATGAGATGGACCAGTTCTGCCTTAGAATTGCAGTTCTTGCAGATGCCAGAGGCTGTGGAAGGTCCCGCGCCGTCGTTCCCGCGAAACCGCTGTAAGAGATGTGGTGTCAGTAGAGTCCCTGTCTGAATTTGCCGAATCATGACGGCTTCCCTACGAGAGAAATGTTGGGAGGGAATCTTAGGGATGGATAGCGGGTTAGCGGCCATGGAGAGGTAGGTGGCTCGCTGGGCTTTGGTAGAGCGCAAGTCGTGCCAAGGGTTGGCAATTTCCTGTGAGGGGTTGCCTAGAGATGAGGAAGAGGAGGGTCCCTTCCCTATTGGAAAAACGTGCAAGAAACAAACCTGCTGCTTGTACAGTTCTGGTATGACACCAACATAATTTCTTTGTGTTATGAATGCAGCTAGTTTGGTTTGGCGTTCTGCATAACTGGAGATACCGGCACCGCTATGGCTCTGGGTCTGTCTATACTGGCAGCCACTTTGCTTGCCGATATGATTCGGTGTGGCTGGTATGATTGTGCGTCCGATGACGTAGGTGACTGCCGTCTTTCCAACAAAGCGCTTATACCACAGGACCACCGGTATAACCAAATCATACATGCAGAAAGACGACCGCCATCTTCCAACAAAAACGTCCGTCGTTCACCACCGCTATTATTACATACACCATACATGTCGAAAAAGAACATAAGCCACGTTTACACGAATGCGACTTAGTCGCATTGAATCCAGTTGCCGCATTCAATATGCGGTCATGTAAACGGCATAATGCGCAAAGCGCATCGCATTTTGGAACGGGGAGGATTATCGGAAGGCGCTCGCTGCGGGAGCGAGTGAACAGCTGAGAACATGGCGGCGGCCAACCTCGTCGGCGGCGCGGAGAGCGGTCCCGCAATTCTTTTCCCGAGAACGCAAGCTTTTATTGCGATCATAAGTAAGCGGAATATAGCGGAGCTGCTCGGTGAGGGCGGCCCCGTCCAAACCTTTGCGAAGTACGACTTGCGCGTCCGAAGGGGTCACAAAGGCTTCAGTGCAAGCGCGAATGACACCGAGAGCTCCGAGCACTGTAGAGCACTGCATGGTAGTGCAGGACGAGCAGCTCCTACCTCGGTGCAGTTCCTGACTCCGCAAGAGCCTCTCGGACTCGGGGTCCGGTTGGTCCGGTCGCGATCGGCGAGGTGTAGCGCGGCGAAACGCGGAGGCTTTCTCAAAGCGTGCACACACACGTCGCCTCTCGTTCAGAGTGAACCGGCGGCCCGGCCTGGAGTCCTAAACGCCTTTCGTCTCCCAACTTCTTCCACAGCACCGAAGACAGCGGGCACGATCTTTACGTTCACTGAATGCGTCGAAAGGCCTCCACGTGCGATGCACCGGAAAACGTGGTGCGGCTGGTGCCGGAACGGAACTGCATAACTTCGAGCTTTGAGTCAACGTGCACGGCAACAAACCGATCGTGACACCAAGCCGCGGATACCGCATCGCCGGTCGACAGCGGCAAACGGCCCGTTGCTCGTATCGTGGGCCGTGACTCGTACTCGGCCAACTTGGCGTCTTTTCGTGGCCCCTCGCGTCGTCGCAACCAGCCACAAACCCGACAAACCCACCAGCCCGAAACCGTAGCGACCGTAGCCTGCGTTGGAGAAAAGCGAAACCGAAACTTAAAGCTTCCGCCGAGTGGCTTCCGCTGCCGCGGCTTTTCTAACTTCGCGGCTCCCACTTCCGGTCGTCGCGGAGATGGCGAAGATAAAGCGGTGTGGGGGGGTCGTTGGCTCGTTTACGGTTACGGGACAGATGTTTTGCGGTCCGTTTCTACTGCGTCTCTGGCTCTCAACTGGACGGCGCCTCTCATAGTTCAACCAGGCGTGGTCAGCCTGCGTCAGGCCGGCTCGACTCGTCCGATCGCCGGACCGCAGGCGACTTCCAAGTACGGCCGTTAGGCCTAGGATCCGAAGGCCTAGGATCCGTGAAGCGGTAAGCGAATCTCGTCCCGTTTTCGTTCTACCTTTAAATTACGTTAGGTGCGCTACAGTATAAGCATGCGTGCCAAGTGTTCGTGACAATTTTGAACTAGAATAATTGTGCTTCATTGCGGTCATTTGCCGAAAATGTAAATCGAGCAATGAACGAGGAGCCATGCTTGAAAACGGTGTATGTACGATGTTAACTTCTACCTGGGCGGCTAAAATAAAAAAAGACTGGTTACGGTTGGATCCGAGGCTGGTCCCAATGCAATGGTAAGCACTTAGAGCGCCTTTCTGAACGGCATGTTAGCAATATAGCGGTCAACGAGACGAGCGACGGCGAGAAGCTACGAGAGACGGCGCCGAGCGCCGAAGATTTCTCACTCTCGCTGCTTGCGCCGCTCGGTTCTTGGGCTTCTAGAAAACGTCGCTCAATGCCTCGGTCGCTCGCACCAATCGCTTTCATACTGTGTGTCTCGTCGCGCGGCTGACTGCCGTGTTTATTCAATGAGTAAAGCTATACGCACTCCGGAGTGCGCTTCGCGCGGAAATGGCTATACGCACTCCTCCAAGAGATCATGCCGCTCGGGCCACCCTTTTCGAACGGCGCGTGAATCACTGGGGCGCTCGTTAACACAGCCCCCCGCCTGCGTTCACGCCGCTTCGCGGCGACAGTATCGGCTGCTAATTACAAAGCGTAACCAGTACACGCCGCTTCGCGGCGTCCAGCCGGCAATCCAAGCCCCGCTCTCCCCGATCGCACCTCCGGAAAGGGAGTCCGATACCATTTAGTTCTGCGAAATTTCTCGACAACATTCGATTTTTTTTTTTTTTTACTGTTCATCGCAAAAAAGGAAATGTCGTAGATATCGCCAAATGCCTCGACAAAACAAAATGTTTAAGAAAAAAAAAAAAAAAAAAGTAGGCCCACCGCGGATTGAACCCGCGTCCACTTGAGTATGAAGCGGACACCCTAACCCCTATGCCATGGCAGCGCTTAGGAGACTCGTTGTGTCCACTCTTTTTATACGAGAAAAGCGGAGTGCGTATAGCCATTTCCGTCCAAAGCGCACTCCGGAGTGCGTATAGCTTTACTCTTATTCAATATAAATCGACCTTTTTTTTTTTTTTTTTTTTCGGAAATTGTGATTAAAGAATTTTGACACCTACATTCGCGACCAAATTTTGCGACCCTACCGGAGGCATGAAGCTATCGAGTCACCGAGCCGGCGTTGCCGTAGAGCCGCGCCGCTTCTTGTTTCAAAAAGCTTTTGGTTGCCGAAATGGCTCGCCGCCCGCGGTGGCCGGTCGGGCGTCGGATTTCGACATCGCACCTCTAGCGTTCCCCTTGCTGGGCAACGGGTAAGGAGAGGAACGCGATGCGCCATGCACTTTACCCTCCATCCTCGCAAACGCGCACACAAAAAAAAAAAAAAAAAAAAATGTTATTTTTGTTAGTTGCTTGAGGCGGCTCGGCTCGCGTGTTGCTCATGGCGACACGGCGGCTTTGCTTGCGTCTTTGTAGTTTGTCTTCCGTCGCTTCGCACCTTCTTTCGTTTCTTGTGGTTGACTCCAAGTATAGCTACTTTTGTGACTCCGTTTAACCAAAAGCTCTGCCGAAACAAACTTGCCGCCTTATAGGTAGTGCAAAAGAACCTCGTGTGCCTAACCTGGAGAAGGGCATTTTTTTTCATAGGTCAATTTTTCCTTAAACCAATACCTTCAGCCTCCTTGAAATGTTAACATTATGTGACACACGGAAGAACAGTAAACTTTTTAATGTTGGTGAACCTTTGATTTTCGCGGCCTTTAATTTTGCAGAATTCAGTGGCTGCGATTATGTCCTCTGTGACCGATTCGAGAAGAAATAGGGGCCACGAAGTAAGGGGGTTTTACTGTACATCGGAGGAAAGAGGAAGTCACTTATGTTTGTATGCAGGAGTAAAACCAACAACAACAATTATGGTGTCAACACTTTGTAAGCCTATCTGTGTCTATTGAATGATACCAATTTTGTTTTAGTTCGTTAAACATTGTTGCCTGTACATTGTGGGATGTCGTCTTCAACACAAGCAGTGGTTTTCTTCTCAAGCAGGCAGCATGGACGCGTGCCGCAGCACAACATAGTTCATTTGCAGGTGGTACCGCAGGTTGAAGGATGGTTGGCACAATATGGGGGAATCACAATTCAATGTTCTACCTCGGGCGTAGACAAGATTTGCTTATTCTAAATCATTTTGTCTAAAAATCTGGGATTTGCGATGAATGTACCCGCATGGTTGGAAGGGCCAGACAAGCCTTGAGAGCGCTTCATTTTCTAGCGTCTCAGTCCTGAACCCACTCACGCACCACATGTGTAGATGTTCCGATAGGTGGGAGCACTTATTTGGAAAATGGTGAATGGCAACTGTTATCTTTATCAGACTTCTGTATTATGGTCAAAGTTGGACTGCATATTTGCAATACTTTTTCTCACTTAAAAATATGTCATACTAAAATATGTAGAATAGCCGATGACAAAAAAGAGAATGGCTGGGCGTTCTCCAGCACGTGCTTGTGCTTTTCACCCCACTTTGGACAGATGTGCTTGCTCCAGGCTCATGAGGCGCTGAAACGTCATCGAAGGTAGCAGACGGGCTGGTGGTGGAACGACGGAGACTTCTCCCTGCCTTTCTCATGCTGTCAGTGAGCGTGTACCTCTATACTCTAACTTAGCTTAACCTGCACAGAGCTGAGGAGAATAGGCTTGGCGAGTGCCCTTACTGCATATGCATTTGTACAGCTGAGGCACTTTCTGAATCAAGAACATTGTGAATCTTACCTTCAAAAACACATCATTTTGGGGGTGCAAAAGGAGTTGTAAGGCATATCTTTGTTTGTATTGTCCTATTACGCATCGCAGGCACGTAGCCAGGGGGAAGCTTATGAGGCCGGCCACCCCCCCCCCCCCCCGATATCTTCCATTTTGCATGGGTCCTCCTCTCCCCCCTCCCCCTCATACAGCGTTTTGTTATGAGGGGCCCCCCCCCCTGAAACAAAATCCTGGCTACGTGCCTGACGCATCGACTCCAACTTAATGCGGAGTCGACCCACCCTGTTGATAAATTTAATGCCTGCCAGGTAATTTGTTTTGCATTCAGTTAATATATCAGTATTCAGTTAGGTATCCCAAGTCATTAGTCGTTGAGATGCAGTCTCTCTGCAAGTCAGTCATGTTTAACATTCATAAAACTGCTCGTCAAATAATGGCACTGTCCAGGACATGTACTCGGCTCGAGCGATCGCTGTGCACAAGCTGGTCGTGTGGTTACAGGCAGCAAACATCCCGGTTGGAACGTCCTACCTCGC